TGTGTGTGTGTGTGTGTGTGTGTGTGTGTGTGTGTGTGTGTGTGTGTGTGTGTGTGTGTATATATATATATATATATATATATATATATATATATATATATATATATATATATATATATCCTATGATTTGTATCGGGTAATATATATATATAATGTACAAGCACTTGGGCTATGTGGTAGTCTTATAAGTGCTCAACGTGCCGCTTAATTTTTTTAGAATACAAACTTGCGCATATAATAGTCGTACCTGGAAGTCATAGTGTGTGACAGCTTGACGTTGTCAGTGTAGTGAAGTGGCTTTTGTTTAGGCTTATGAATTACGTTGCCTTATCTCCCAAATATCTCTGTTGATTTTCAAAACGTGAGAGGTGTATGGGATTTCGATACTTCTATATCCTTAAGTAGTGTGTTTTAGCATAGACCAAAGGTTGGCAGCCTGTGCCTTAGTACTGTAAGGTCAGGCACCAGGCAAACAGTGTAGAGTGAACACTTGGATTGAGTACGAATATGAGCCTATAACAAATTTATGATGTATTTCTCTTGCGTACATCCGGTGGTATTGCATCGGCCTGAGCTGTGAGCATCATATTTACACAAAAAATGCATGAAATTATTACGTCATGCACAAATAGCCATAGATACTATGACGTATACCTCGACTGTTTTGTGAGGCTACGAACATTTATTTTAAAATTTACATTTGTAACGTACGAGAGTCCAGACTCCCAGGATCAATATATAACGTTTAGGGCCACCCCCACACACCATAGTATAACATTCGGTTTTTAGAATTATACCTTATCACAATATACGACTATAGTCATACACATATCGCCGAGTTTCGAATCTAGTTCTGATTACATAGGAGGAGATCGTCCCATCATGAGCATCATACTCGCCGGTGCTGGTCCCGGAGACCCTGAGCTGCTCACAATCGCAGCCATGAAAGCTTTGGAGAATGCAGAGCTGGTGGTGTCCGACAGGTATTTGAATCACTGTAAACACGGAGTGTGTATAATTAATGGTACACACGTCTACGAATATGTATGTATATAAGTAAGTGTGGTTACCTATTTTGGAGCCATGAAGGCTATGTAGAATGCACAGCTGGTGATTTCCGACACGTAAGTGAATCACTATAATCATAGCGTATGTGTATTCAATGGTAAATGCGTGCACTGATGCATATATATATATACAAATACGTGTGCTTACTCACTTTGCAGTCATGATGGCTTTCGATAATGTACAGCGTAGGTAAATCGCTATTAACATGGCATGTGTGTATTCATTGGTACACGCGTGGACTATTGCATGTATATATACAAGTGTGTGTGCTCAACTACTTTGCAGTCATGATGGCTTTCGATGATGTACAGCTTAGGTGAATCACTATAAACGTGGCGTGTGTGTAAATTTTTGGTGCACTCGTGTACGAATGCATGTATATATACATGTATGTGTGCTTACCTACTTTGCAATCATGGTGGCTGTGGGGAATGCACAGCTGGTGGTGTCCGACAGGTAAGTGAAACGCTCTATTTATCGCACAAGTCCACATAACTGCGCATACGTAAGCACACATGTCCGTATTCATAGTTGTACGTATACAAACAAATAAGCGACCATCTCTATATCGTAGTCATGCGAGCGTTGCATAATGTCTACTTTACAACGTGATGATGCCTCATATCACTGATGAGTACGATCCGCGGTAACATCCAGCTGGTGTGAGCAATGAAATCGCTTCGGAAAAAATCAACTTAGTCCTTGCCATGTCCAAGACTCTCTTCGTTCTGTCCTTGGGGTGAAGGTTCATGGTGGAGGGTAGTTAGGATTTTCTACGCGACTTTGCGCAAGGAAGTCACACATACGTTGTGAGTGCGTGTTGTGAGTGCGTGCGCATATGGGCTCACTACGAGTGTTTGCTGAGTCTCATTTATGTGTGATTGAACTCAAGTTGCAGTAGAATCTTTCAGTTCAGCAACCATTTTTTACTTCATTTCAGCAACCATTTTTTATTTCAGTTCAGCAACCATTTTTTACTGCATATTCCGTGACTGCAGATTTGTGTGTTTGTCTAGTTGTCTGTGTAAGTACTATTGTACTATCGAGCAGGACGATACCATGCCGCTACCGTAAGTGCGAGAACCTTCTTAAGTATACCACACCCACATACCCATACTTCGGTTTTTCCATAACCTAGAGTCGATTGCATCCGCATTCAAATTTAGTCCAGCAACTCGTGCGTACGAATAAGAACGCATATCGATATAAACTATTTTACACTATACATAAATACATACATACATACATACATGCATGCATACATCATCGTCTGAATATCAAAATGTTTGCTGACGCTGTACTGCTGTGCATCTATCTCAGGTTAGTGCACGCAGATATCCTGGCCTTCGCGAAGTGCGAAGTGAAGATTGCGCTCAAAACAACAGGCCGATCTGATCCAGGTGTGCGGGTGTCTGGGTCTGGCTCTGTAAGTCTGGCTGTGTGTGCACAGAGACGTTCGTCAGTATACTTGTTATTCTTTGTATGTAACTTGTTCGACCTACTCCCCTCGATACGGTTATGTTCGATCGCAGCAGTACGAACACTCTATCACGAGGACTAAAACTCGGCCACATGTCGTTCACTTGTACCTGGTGTATTCCCAGAGTAGAGCGCGTATCTCGGGCATGCGAAGGGTGTGTATGATTATTATTTTTTATCTTCTGAGATCAGTTCTATGACTCGTATCGTGAATGGAGACGAAACAGTGTAATCGCTTAGCAGCTTTGGGGCCATCACAGTAAGTGACTGACATCCGCTCAACATTGAGCTAACAAACTTCAGGATAGGATATTTCAAGCTGTCGCCGAGTGCACTCGATGAAACTCGTTGTTTGTATATGTGACTTGACCTACATGTGGGCTATACGTTATAACCTTCATATCTACCGCAAGTGAAGGCATACGCGCTTGTTAACATGTGCTCGGTCAACCGCCAATACTTGAGTTCAATTACCCTATGCTAGTACTGTTTGTCTATTCCACGTGTGTGGTTGCCTAAAATGGACCGGACTGTGTCAAGTAGTCTAAATTAGGCTTGGCGCTTGAATCCAAACCTGTGCCCAAGTGTAAATTTCAAACGGCTTCATATCAATCGCAAGTGAAGGAATACGCGCTTGTTAACATGTGCTCGGCCAACCGCCAATACTTGAGTTCTTTCAAATGCCCTATGCTAGTACTGTATGTCTATTCCACGTGTGTGGTTGCCTAATATGGACCGGACGGTGTCAAGTAGTCTAAATTAGGCTTGGTTTGAATCCAAAACTGTGGCCAAGTATCAATTTCAAGCGGGGTTTGAGAGTGACGTGGTCCTTAATCCACAGAACACCGAGCAGCTTGACAATTTCTACTGACCCACGCATTCCTCGAGAGTATTGGGACTCACGTGCGAACTTGAATCGGGGATAGTCTGACACTCATGCGGTGGTAATCTGGCACTTATCCAGCTCAGGACGAATTAAGTGAGTGGTGTCTAGAGGGACTCGGAGCTGGGAAGCGCGTGGTAAGACTCAAAATCGGAGACCCCTTTGTGTTCGGTCGTGGAGGTGAAGAGGTGCTGTGGTACAGAGAGCGAGGGTTCGAATGCCAAATAATTCCTGGTATATGTAGCGCCCTAGCTGGTCCCTTGGAAGGTATGTACATGCTTTGATATAGTGCTCCTATAACATAGTTCGAGAACTATACCAAGTGCGAAGTACCGTGCCTTCGTACGTGGCATGTAGTGGTCCTTTGTTTGTGTGGTATGAAGGTTGGTCCCTTTACTGCTGTTCTCCGGTCGTAATAACATGCTGGTTAGTGCGAAATAATTCACATACTTTTTATTTGCCTGCGGCTCGTAGTATTAAAACATTCGGCAGTGATATATTCCGCTACTACAAGTTTGTGCCATCCGAGAATAAATTTTTAAGCTAAAATACTATCTGCTAGCTATCGTATCTCTCCTAGTGCTGTTTATATGTATTGTAGCGCGACTTTAGGTGCGAAAAACTGTCCTCTGTGTCTCATCCACCCCTGAATGTAGCTAATATGCTTCTCTCATATTAAAACTAGCCTAGGAAGAAGCTTGATCATAACGACCACATTTTGTATTTGCCTGCAATTGCCAAACCATCTTCGATCAATTTATTAACACGCAGTGGGTATACCAGTAACGCATCGGGGGGCCAGTGAGCAAGTGCTGATCTGTACAGGAAGAGGCAGAAATGGCACATATCCTAACATACCTGAATATGACCCGGCGCGCACGATTGTGATCCTTATGGGTGTCGGCAGGTATGTCAACCGGCTGCGTTAGTATTCAAATCGGGTATAGCTTAATTAAGGGTGTGTAGAACCTTAGTTGTCTGCAGTGGCACTTTCTGTCGTTGTTGTTTTTGTGGTTTGAATGCGTGCACAGTTTTGGGAAACATTGCTTATGGATATGCCATATTGCTCATTTGTTGGATCAGGAGAGGCGTAATGCATTTGTAGCCGATTTTCTCGATATGTATAACTGTGCTTTTGAATGAAGCTATTGAATGTGAGCTTTTCTGCTCGTGAGTGGAATTGATTATGGTGTGCGTGGTCTAAACAAGCAAAGAAATTGACACACCTTTTCCCTGAATTCCTGGAGATTTTCCCAAAAAAAAAATGATCATCGCGTAGTTAGAATGCAAGATCTATGTATTGAATCCTAAATTTGATTCGAACTATCCCCCAGGCTGGGCGAGCTTAGTGCGATGCTCATCAAGGACAAACAGTTCCCCTCGTCGACTCCCGTGAATGTCGTACAATCAGCCACCACGCCAGAGATGAAGCAGTGCATGGGCACGTTACAGGACATCGAAGACAAGGCAAAGCAGGCGGAGGTGAAGGCACCAGCCGTCATAACTATCGGTGGAGTTGTAGATGTATTACGACCTGTTGATACAGTACGCGATTAGAATATAAACTAGTAATTTCAATTCTAATCGCTCGTTGCCCCGTCACCAGTTTATAGCCAAGTAGAGTATTCAACAGTTTCCATGTTTATTCTTTGTAGTCACTTTTGTCAAGAACGTTAGCTACATATTCAATGTAGCAGTGAGGGCAGTTATACATTCGCCTCTCAATTCTGTGCTAAGTTCCTTTATATTCCTGTTTTGTATAATATCCAATGCGACCTGAGTTTTGCGAACACCATGCACAATTTGTAATCAGCTTTTTTGAACTACGCATTCGTTCCAGAATTTTTCTTGAGAATGCGAGAGCACAGTTCATCGCGATTAGTCTCAGAAAGTTCGAGGTTGCAGCACGGACGGTCATAATTCGAGACCGTTCTAATACTGATTTATGAAGACATATGCGTATACGTAGTGAGAAAGCGGTTGGACAAGGCGTGTAGTACTGATTGCAGTAGCAGGCAAATATGCGTGCATCTACACATTGCAATACTGTCGGAAAAATGATGGCGAGCATAGCTGCGCAAAAAAATGGGCGGTACTTGTTCGTGAGAATATCTACAAGCTTGTCACACGGTACAAACCCGTTCAATGAGAACACCCTTCCAGGGAAAAAACGAAGTACAAAAATCATGTGTAGAAACGTGATGTATTCCGATCATACATATTCTAAAGAAAGAAAGTCAGAGTATACAAAAGAACGGTATTTCGCAGGACCTCAAAGTTTGGAACGATAAGGAATAAGCATGCTATTTTTTGTTTGTAATTTACAATCAGAGATGTGTGAATTCACACCACCGGAGCCAGCCTTGTCGCGACTTCCCGCTACAATCGCTGTCCGAAACAACTTACGATCGTGAGGAGCTCGTTGGGCTTATTCTAACAATAATAGCATATATCTCTTTTTGTACGGATTCGGGGTAGTTTGATGCTTACAGTAGCTCATTAGCGGCCTGTGATGGCGCCCGAGAAGAATGTAATTACCGCCAATCCGGTGTATGATATTGATGTATACCAACTATCAAGTGGACATTTCACGTCTTTTACTTTGGAATATCGATCGAAAATACAAAGAAAGAATACGACAACCCGAGGTGGGAGATTCACGAAAATGGGAGCAAAATGTAGTTTCTAATTGGTTCGGCAACTAGTGAAACACGGAAACCCACATCAAAAAAGCAATCTAGAAGTTGTGATGAAGGTGTGTAACTGTCAGACTCGGAACTTCACACCGGAAATACCTATTGCAAGCTGATATGTGAATCACTGTAGGTTTATATTGTAGTAATCTGCATGTCGAGGGTCTAAATACTTGATAAGTAGTCGTACTGCAAAACGCACGGTAGTTAAACAATCGGTAGCCTATCAGGAAGTTGAGGCCGAATCGGTTTCATAGCTTTATAAATAGTGTTGGAAGCGAAATTTCACTGTCCTAGTTCATAAACCCACCGGAAATTGATTGTGGAAGAGTTGGCTTAAATTAAGCTATTGACAATATTGTGCAACATGACTTGTTGTGACCCAAAATGTAATACGCTGTGATCTAGATGCATTGTTTAACCTGTGTGCAGGTTTCGAACATTCACATGTTACAAGCACATCGGCTATACAGTCGCGATTTAACACCGATACAAGCGATACACCTACACAAAAACTTATAGTGACGCTGAATCACTCCATATCATCGGACATCCGGGTGTATTAGGGCCCAGAAGACTACTTCGAGTATATTCATTTTATAGTCCTTAGCCAAATGACGCTTAAATAGTATTGGTGCCATACAAGGCGTACAGACTCACAGCAATAGCACAACTACAATACAGTGAGTTGGAAAGTATTGACACAACCACTATA